CCACTATAGATATAGAATAATAAATAAATTATAATCATAATAAAAAAGATTCCGAATAAATAAATAAATAAATAAATAAATAAAACTATCTCAAAATAAAGATCACACAACACATAGTTGAAAGTTGAAACTAATAGTTCTGGCAATAGCTAGATTGCTAGAAAAAACCCCATAAATAAAATAAAGAAAAATAAAATGAGAAGGATGCAATTAAATCCTTATTAGCCTCTACATATTCGTGAACAAGTAATAAGATTATGGAAAATGCTACAGTCCCGTTACATAATCATTCCGTTGAGATTTGTAATCGTTACATCATCATGTAACCGTCGTGTGGATAGTTGATATAACACTTACAAATCTCGACTAAGATTATTTATTCCCTTTCCTCACTAACTTGAAATTCTATACAAAAATATAAAAAGAGGGAAAAAGTGAAGCAGATCAGTTATGCAATAATAAAGCACAAAACCTGATGCAAAAGAGCAAGTCAATATAGCGAGGCCGAATTGCTTGAGCATGCTGATTATAAGGAGCATGGACTGTGAAGAAATCCTCAGTTCTCTGCATACACGAGACGGCCACATTTTTCGTAACGAAGTGTAAAAAATGATATTGAACAAAAAAAAAACAAGAAATAGTTTGAGAATGAGTCGTAAAAATGGGGAAAGATGGTATGAGCATATATAAGAGTTTGGAGGAGAATGTGATGAACTAAGGAGCCTTTAAGTCGGGGGAGCCCCACATAAGCCTTTGCTGCATGCAAGTGTTGTAGCTGAATAGACATTATGGGGAGGAATAATTAAATAGTTTTTTTTTTTTTCTTCAAAAAATAATTAGTAAATTGTAGTGAATGAGATATTTATTTACTATAAATTTTCAAAAAAAGTTAGATAATTGATTGAAGTTTATTTAAAGAAAGAGACACAAAGTTGAGTAGAGTCTGTGACGACTTCTCTCTCTCCTAAGAAAATCCTTTCCCCCTAATTCATCGAACAGTTTCTTTAGTCGTCCGCCGACCTCTTCTTCGCAGGGCTCTCCGCTCGGCCCGGTTCTGTCCGTCGCTGACCGCGAAGTTATCGATAATTTTTCACGTAAAAATTTTAGTCTTCAGACAGGGGCGGACCCACATAGGGGCCCGCAGGGGCACGTGCCCCTGTGGTGTTAGTACCAATGTTTTAAAAACCGTACCGGTCGTCATACCGGTGTAGCGACCGGTATGCGGTATTACCGGTACGACCGGTATTACCGTCTATTTTACCGGTTTTAATAAATATTAAATTAATTTGTTATTATTATATAAATAATATACAAAACTAACTTTAATTAATATTAAAATAAATTAACATCTAATAACAATATAAACATATTAAAGTTAAGTGTAGAAATTTCAATTTATATAAATAAAATAATAAAAATATATTAAAAATATTTTTTTTTTTAAAAAATGGCATAAACCGGTATTTTGACCGGTATTTTGGCCGGTATTTGCCTGTAAAATCGGTATTTTCCGGTACGAAACCGGTATTTTGGCCAAAACGGTATTTTGAGTGTAAATGTACCGGTCGGACCACCGGTATCCGGTATTACCGGTAATACCGGCCGGTACGAACCGGTATTTAAAACATGGGTTAGTACTTTCAATCTATATATATGTATGCATAATTTATATATTTTAATTGTGTTTAACTTTTTTTGTGAGTCCAAGTACTACAAATTTATACTCACTAATATGCTTTTTTTATTTCTCCTCCCACTCCATCAAATTAAGAGCCGTAACTCACTAATTCTCTCATACTTTGTTCCCCTTCCTCTTCTTCTACTTCTTCTCTGCATAATCACAAAATTTGGGTGCAGGANNNNATCAAAATTCAAATTTGAATTTCTACTTGCTCAAATAGCTATTAATTTTTATTTAAAAGGTATGTTTTATTTAATTGCTTTTTAATTTTTATAACCCTAAATTTGTATTTGAAAATTTTCAAAATTGATGTAATTTAAATTTAGGGTTTTCATGATTTTGATAAAATAACATCTTAAATGTTATATCTTATTTGTTGTGATTTTTTTTTTGGTGTATTATTTGTTTTAGGTACTTTTATAATTGTAATAATAGTTTTAAATTAGCTCGGAATTTGTTCTTGTCCCTCATTTCGAAGTTCTAACATAATGTTATAATTATTTGGTATATTAATTATAGATACATATTATAAACGAAAATGTACGAGTGTTGACGATGAAAGAAATGTCCGAGAAAAAGGCCAAGAATATGAGAAACCGTAGAGAACAGTTGTAATGTAATGTTTGGTATTTTTATTTGTTCTTATATGAATTATATTGTGCCCCCCTAGTTTTAAAAGTCTGCGTCCGCCCCTGTCTTCAGATAATGATTGTGGCTAAATCTTTCGATTTGCCATCACAAAAAGAATTATTATAAGCATTTTTTAATTAGTATTGTGTAAAAATGCACGGTTGTTGTGACAATATTAATACATCTTTGTTATGTAAAAGTGGAATTTACCACCACTAATAACTCTTATCATCTACATTATTATTATACTTAAAATATGTATTGGAATTTGTGCCTATGAAAAGGGCCAAAAGCATTGTAATGTGAGTACGGAAAAGAGAAAGAAGAATAACATCTTGTAATTTAGATCCGATTTTTACATTGTGTTTTTTATCTTCCTCGCATTTTATAACATGTTATCAGCACGAGCGCTCTACTCGGTCAGAAAGGTAGGTATATAATAATAATAATAATATATATATATATATATGTAGGGGAGGATCCAATGAGTCCACTCCTTAAAATGAGTCAATTCCTTAAAATGAGTCCATTCCTTAAAATATATATTAATTAAATAATAAAATAATTATTAGTTGACTCCGGCGTTGACCGTTGACTTCCGGCGTTGACCGTTGACTTCCGACAAAAAAATTGTTGACTTTCGACGTTGACCGTTGACTTCCGGCGTTGACTTCCCCGTTGACCGTTGACTTCCGGCGTTGACCGTTGACCCCTAGTATGCATTATATGTATGAAGTAAATATACATCCAGTACCATGCATTCAATATGAACTAAATATGCATGAGATATGAATTGCACATGCAGTTCTTATGAACTAAATATGCACCAATAATATCAACTAAGTATGCATCTGTTATGAACTAAATATGCATATGTTATGAACTAAATATGCATCATGAATGAACTAAATATGCAGCGAAAAATATGCAATAAAATGTGCATTTCATATAGGTAATTTATTATGCATATTTAGTTAATTTATTATGAATATTTAGGTAATTTATGATGCATATTTAGTTAATAAGAAATGCATATTTGTTATATTTAAATTAAATATATAATAATATTTATATAATTAATTTATTATGCATATTTACTTAATTCATGGTACATATTTAGTTCTTACGAAATGCATATTTAGTTCATGAACAGTGCATACCTATTTTATTTGAGATCTAATCATAACAAATTATTTGTGTTATTAATCAATTTAAAATTAAAATTAATTATATAATAAAATTATTTGTGTTATTAACTAAATATGCATCTGTTATGAACTGGGCCCAAATTATTTGTGCAGTCTATGTTCCCATATCACCACCACAGCGTACCTCTATGGGCCCTCATAGAAAGCTAGGTATATATATTGGCTATGAATCCCCGTCTATTCTAAAATACCTAGAGCCCATGACTGGGGATCAATTTACAGCTAGGTACGCTGACTGCATATTCGATAAAGAGAATTTTCTGGCATTAGGGGGAGATAAAAGCCTAAACTTAAATAAATGCCGAGAAATTTCTTGGAATGTAGAAAATCTACAATATTTAGATCCACGCACTAATCAAACTGAACTTGAAGTTCAAAAGATAATTAATTTGCAATATTTAGCAAATAATCTGCCAGATGCATTTACTGATCATAAAGGAGTGACCAAATCTCATGTACCTTCAATAAATGCTCCACAACGTGTGGAAGTCTCCATAAAATCTAATAACCCTGCAGATGCTCCATGCCAGAAGCGTGGTAGACCCGTTGGTACAAAAGACAACAATCCGCGGAAAACGAAATCTAATAGGAATATTGAATCACTCCCGAAATCTCCAGAAGAGAATCGTCCAGAAGGCGAAAATCCTAGTTTAAATGCACGTGCAACAAATAATAAAAATACTAGGATTGCAGAACATCCAGATAAAAATATATTGGTAAATGATGAAGATCTGGTTGATGTAAATGTTGAAGTAGCTACGAATTTTGTTGATACAGGAGAAACTTATAATAGAAGTAACATAGTCGTCGACGACACATTTGCCTCTATAGTTGCTTTTACCATCTCCAATAATCTGGATCCATAAACAAAATCAATTGTAGAGTGCCGGAAGCGCTCCGATTGGATAAGATGGAAAGAGGCAATTGAGGTTGAACTAGACTCGCTAAATAAACGAAAAGTTTTTGGCTCTATTGCGCGTACACCTCAAAATGTTATCCCAGTAGGATATAAATGGGTGTTCTTGCGAAAGAGAAATGAAAATAATGATGTGATGAGATACAAAGCGAGATTAGTTGCTCAAGGGTTTTCGCAGAGACTTGGAATTGATTTTGATCAAACATATTCTCCTATAAAGGATGGAATAACGTTCCGCTATTTGATATCTCTAGCAGTAACCATGAATTTAGATATGCAGTTAATGGATGTCGTGACCGCATATTTATATGGGTCATTAGACACAAATATATATATGAAAATCCGTGAAGGATTCAAGGTTCCCAAAATAAGGGAAAATGAAACGCGCAACATATATAGCATTAAATTACAAAAGTCATTATATGGCTTAAAGCAGTCGAGTAGAATGTGGTACAACCGGCTGAGTGAGTTTTTGTTGAAAAATAATTATGTGAATAACGATGTGTGCCCATGTGTGTTTATAAAGAGGTCAACGAATGGCTTTTGCATCATTTCAGTTTATGTCGATGACATAAATATAATTGGCACACGAGAGGAGCTTGATAAAGCTAGCTCATGCCTAAAGATGGAGTTTGAAATGAAAGATTTGGGTAAAACCAAATATTGTCTCGGCCTGCAGATCGAGCATCTCCCTGAAGGAATATTTGTACACCAGTCAACCTACTTGAAGAAGGTTTTAGAAAAATTCTACATGGATAAATCTCATCCACTTAGCACACCAATGGTTGTCACACCAATGGTTGTCCGATCCCTTGAAGCGGATAAGGACCCATTTAGACCTAAAGAAGATACCGAAGAAAATTTAGGACCAGAAGTTCCTTACTTGAGCGCCATTGGCGCGTTACTTTATCTAGCAAGGTTTAGTGCTTCTCCTACGAGGAGACACTGGAATGGTATTAAACATATTTTTCGGTATCTTCAAGGTTCACAAGATCTTGGTTTACTTTATAAGAAAAATCAAAATATTACATTGATGGGCTATTCGGATGCTGGTTATATGTCTGATCCCCATAATGCTAGATCACAGACTGGTTATGTTTTTCTTTGTGGTGGTACTGCAATCTCTTGGAAGTCGGTCAGGCAGTCCATGGTTACTACATCTTCAAACCATTCAGAAATAATTGATTTATACGAGACTTCACGCGAATGTATATGGTTAAGATCTTTAATCCAACATATTCGTGGATCATGTGGAATTACAAATGATATAACCCCCACTGTCCTTTATGAGGACAATGCAGCTTGTGTTTTACAAATGAGTAGTGGGTATGTCAAAGGAAGCATGACAAAACACATTGCTCCAAAATTCTTTTATCCACACGAGCTCCAAAAGAGCGGTGAGATTATTGTACAAAAGGTAAGGTCTAACGAGAACTTGGCAGACCTATTCACCAAATCCCTTCCGACATCTACTTTTGAAAAATACATTTATGGTATTGGTATGCGTAAATTGGAAAGACTATTGTCTTCAGGGGGAGGAAAAAACTAAAAATAATCCCGAAGATTAGGTCCTGAAGACCAAATGCTGTACTTTTTTTCCTTTAACTAAGTTTTTCCCAATGGGTTTATTAGTTAAAGGTTTTTAACGAGGCAGCTAATAAAACACATGAATTTTTATAAACCATGTACTTTTTTTCCCTTGACTAATTTTTTTTCCTGTCGGGTTTTTATTAGCAAGGTTTTTAATGAGGCATGTAGTAATGTCCAAGGAGAAGTGTTATAAATATATTAATATGGATATTACTAATATAGGAAAGTTAGAATTTAGGGCTTCTCTCTTGTAAACCCTATAAAAGGGTGTATACGACATGAATAAGATTACAGACTTTTTTGCACCTCTTTTCTTATTCTCTTTATTGCACATCTTTATGTTTGGTTGATTGATGGATGCTTGTTGAAGATTAAGAGTTTCAATTTACAACAAAATGTTGGTTTTTGGTAATTATTTTAAGAATCGGAAAGGAATTTATAGATTCATATTAAAATTGTTGTTTATACAACACAATTTTGCTATTGAGTCATCGGATGACACGATTTATGGCGTCATCAATACTTATTTACAAATAGTGTATTGACAGATGTCTTATAATAAATACACTTTGGACAGGTGTCAATACATTAAGTGATGGATGACTCCATAAAAAAAATCAGATGTTCCATAGCATTTCTGTTATACAACAAATCTTTATAGATCTTTCGTCTTTCTCGCAATGGACTGGAATTCTGAAAACTTTGTTGTTGGATTTAAAGAGAAGGTTAACAATCTTGAACAGAGATTCAACTTTATATTTTTATTTCGTTAAACTTGTTGTCAGCTCCACCAATTTTTTTTTTTCTTTTGTAGAAAAAGAAATGGGTTGCCTATTCATAGTATTTCTAATCTGGCACTGTTCAGACGCTGTTCACCCTGTCACTTCGCACAATAACTTAGAGCCAACAGGTCGACGCCGCTCTGACATGCATTAAATGTGATTTGAGGTTTCTCCAATGATTATCTGTCAGACATTAAATGTACACATATGGGGCATTTAATGGCGTTCCTGTCGGGCTAGATGCCCTAGGGTGGTAGAATAGGGTGACGCGTCCCATCAGCAAAAATTAGCCGACATGTGGCAATATTATATCATTTCGAGATCTCGCCTCCATACGGAAGTTGGCCTTGTAAAATCTTCAGGTCGGACTTTCATCATCACTTCACCTTCTAGCCTCCAGACGCTGTTCTTCAATCCAGCACTCCAAGAGTTCGACGTCGGCTTCGATCCGGATGGGTGTCGTCCTCGAAAACCATTATGCTCACCATTCTTATCAAACTTTATTTTTCGGTCAGCACGGCCCCTTGGTGGGACCCTTCTCGGTCCCGATTCTTAGGTTGTCTTCGCCAGAGTCTTTGTACTCGAGCCATGAATTCTATGCTGGTTCAACTCGGATATCAACAACACACACGCAAGATATACCGGCTAACCTTCCTCGACGGGAATGAATCATTCGATTCGGTACTCGGCAAAAATATAATTTGCTATAACATACATAAACATATTTTTAAAATTAAGAAATAAATAAAGAATAATATATTTAATGTAAAGAACGCACTTAGATATTTTTTTATTTTTTATTTTTTTTGCCTATACGCACTTAGATGTTTGATTGAGTAAACTTTACATAGTAAATGTACATGTAAAAGGGGTTGAGATGGTCTTACCTATTGTCTCACAAGAACATGAGAATGGGCCTAAAGTCGAGTCACGGAAACTGAACGGGCTTGCCTAAGTGCACAAGCCAGATGCTAGTGTGCACAGAGTAGGTTGACACACTGAACAAAACTGCGAAATCTAAGGAAGAAATAATACAGAGGAATACTGACAATGGCCTGGTGCGCCGCCGCGAGGAGCTTCCACATGCCGGCGATCGATGTCGGTGTCCTGCGCTCTCGAGCTCCATTAGCCTTTGGAGCCGGATGCGCATCCTTGGCCGGTGGTGCTAACTTCCGCCGTTGTGGCCCATCGCCAGCCTTCGCTTCTTTAAGCATTTCAACTGATGCCTGCGCAGGTGAGCTCATACAGTCCACTTTTTTGCAGATTAGATTGTACTGTTTTTAAATCCGTGAGCGTTTTCTTGTCGGCGGTCTGCTTGTACTGGGAAGTTGTACCTTAGGAACGAGTAATTGTGCCTTTTCCTGGGTTTTCTTTGTGCTGCTAAAATGAGCAGCTGCAGGTGTTTTACTGGAAGTTTTTGTCACTGTATTGATTATTTCGATCAATTTTTTATTTTTATTTTTTTCGTAAAGAAGAGAGTGTCAGTTTGAGTTTGTACACATGCCCTTTTCATGGAATGTATCCCTTTTTTCTCTACCTTACTGTCATATGAGTGTAGGCAACTTTGATTAGTTGATTCACCTTGTGCATTGGCTGTAATCATTAAAGCTTATGGTGTTTGTGATGTGCTTCCAAGTGTAGTTATTAAGGAAGCTGTGAAGACAGAAAAGGCTCCAGCAGCATTGGGGCCGTATTCTCAAGCAATTAAGGCGAATAATATGGTCTTTGTTTCTGGGGTTCTTGGACTGATTCCAGAGGTCTGTAAAGTTATCTTTATAATGTGGTGAAAGATTTCTCCATTGGATATATAGTTTCGTTTCTGCAGTTGTAAATGTATGAGTGCAAGTTGTAAGTTATTTTCCCTGTTCAAAATTGCAGACTGGGAAATTTGTCTCGGAGGATGTAGAGGATCAAACTGAACAGGTATGCTACGCCAGTAATTCTGCAGTAGGCCTCTGATTTTATTTTACCAAGATTTGTTTGAGAGGTCAGTAGCAAACATGTATAAATTTATAGCACCTTATGGAAGCACCATTTCATGAGTAACCTATCGAGAAACGTACAACATCTCGATAGATCTCGTGGTGGACTTTAGTGCTTTAACTTAGCAAAGTTGTTGGGGCTTTTCTTCAGTAAATTCTTAAGCAAGGGGAGACTTCTTGATTGTTTTGTTAGTTATCATATTTCATCCATATGTTAATTCCTTAAACTTCCACGTATAAGAAGTTGGAATATACATGTAACTAATTGTGTCTGCATCAATTGACTTTCGAGTTGGCCATGGTTTGTCATGTATGTTGCTCATTGCAGGTCCAGTAATCTATTACGTGGGCTTGTTCAAATTGTCACTGGAAGTTTCTGACTGCAAATTAGCTCTAAGTTGTTAGCGTGTAGATGTTTTTACGAGTTTGCAAAGTATATGCAGCACCAAAGTTTGGGTGACAGATAGTTGTTGGCTTATGAGCGATCCTAGATCTTTTTAGAAGAATTTTAATTAATGGCAGAAATGCTGATCTGTTCGACTATCTTCAATTTTAAAATTTTCTACTTATATGAGGGTGACTTACAAAGGAATACATGTACCTCTATCCAGGATACTTGTATATACTTTTGTTGTAATCCTATTGTCCCAGCTGTGTGCATTTGTGTGTCTCTATATATACATATATATTTGATATATTGTCAATAAGGCTCTCAAATACACATTGGAACCGTAGGTACTTAAGAATATGGGAGAGATACTTAAAGCAAGTGGTGCAGACTATTCTTCAGTTGTAAAGACAACAATCATGTATGTGATCTTTTTTCTTTCTCTCTTACTTTTCCTTCTATATTTGTGAGTCATGCACACTCATTGTGGTTATTTGATTGTGTCAAAAGGAAAAAAGGGGTTGTTTATTTTCAAAAGGTAACATTATATTTTTTTCCCTCCTCTACAGGTTGGCTGATCTGACAGACTTTAAGAAAGTCAACGAAATTTATGCTAAATGTGAGTTTGAAGTTGAAATCAACTTGGTGGTTTGTACTTCTGATTGTGCTCATTATCCATATTACATGCATTCTTGATGTGTTCGTTCGGCTCGTACTATACATAATACATTATTTTGAGCCTGCAATTTTACAGTCAACATATATATAAATCATTAATCTTGCTGGTCTCATTTGAACAAGCTGGCTGTATAATTAACTAAGGAATGACTTAATTCTCTTGTAATTACTGATTTGTTCAACTTTCAGTAACATTGTTAATTGTTCTTTCAGATTTTCCAGCACCAGCACCGGCTCGGTCCACGTACCAGGTTGCTGCACTGCCATTGAATGCACGGATTGAGATCGAATGCATAGCTGCTGTGCCACAATAATGCCTTACGGTTTATAGTGTAACTAAATAAGCCGGATCTAAGGAAGCCATGTTACGTCAGAATTGATTCTGGAACTGTAATTTGTGTGTGCTAAATCGAGGCCCCTCTGGATCACCTTCCCAAACTTTTGCAGTTGTAAAACCTAATCATGATCTTGTTTCTGCTTGTTTTATAAGCCAAGAGTTAGAGACCTTTTTTCTTATCTTATTTGCTTTTTCTATCTCTTTAAAAGAAAAGGCACAACTTCATTAAATTGTCAACTTGATGAAGAGAAGTGTTTTTTTTTTTTTTTTCATAATTCGTGTTCGGGCATGATTTTCATGTTTACTTATCTTATTTACAGTGAACCTCTTATAGAATACCACAAGATAGAACATTTTCTGCCTGAACTTGATTGAAAAAAAGCATGTTTACTTGAAAAGGAAAGAGAAATGGAGAATTACAACAGTTCTCTGCTATTATTGAACTATCTACCAATACAATTTCAGACTTAAATTCACATAAATCATTGTCGGAAGCCAAATTACAGATTCAAGAGCTACCACATTGCGGGTTAAATTACATTGCATTAACTTACAAAATGGTGTCATTAGCTGAGCTCATTGTACTGCACGAGACATCAAAATTCCATGTCAATAACGTGCTATATGAGCTCTCACGACACTAGTTTCGTCTCAAATGTTCCGTTAATGAAAATTACTCGAACTTTCGGATACTAAATCTTATGCTTCAAAACCTGGCGCAACTGGACCTTCTGACTCCCCATCCTAGCTTCCAAAAACCGAGCTTTGAGACTACTCTTCTGAGCACCTCTCGGCCACTCGATGCACCCTTTCATTGCGCGATTCACACGAGGTTTACCCGAATCGGGTGAACTCCACTGACCGTACAAATCCTGTGGGCTTAGCGGCAGCCCATTATATGGGGAAAACACAGTCCCATTAGATACAATCTTGTAACTATCCCCATTATTTGGACAGGACTTCCACAGCTTATTAGATATAGACGAGTCCCTCTTTATCTGCCTCATTCGGGCTGAGTCAACCTCGCCAATCTCCACTATTCGTCCTTCTTTTTCCCATTCGGTCGCATTTATCGGAACACTTCTGGCCCTAAAGTTTCTATTATTGACCGAAGGATCACTGCCCTCGGGTGAGTAGCTCGAACCCTGATGGCTCACAGTCTCCCACTCGCTAACATCCTCCTCCAATAACTCTCCAATCTGATCGGTATATGCGTGGTGGACCCCGTCCCTCACAATTACTTTCACTTCCGGGCTCACCGTGTGGATCTTTGAGGCCTGACTGCACTCCCCTTCTCCCAGCATGGAGAAAATGTCGTCCAGGTTTGGTGGTTCGTAAGTCAACTCCCTCACATCCTGCATGCTCACTGATTTCGCCACCTGGATCAGAAACTCGGCCTTCTCTATCTTTTCTGGGCCTGGGCCCGAACTGGAACTCAACAAAGAGACGAGGCCCGCGACCAGACCACTCATCTCCGAGTATTTGTCTTCGAGCATGACTTTGGCATCCACAAGCTTCATCTGCATGCGCTCTTCACGCCACACCTCGGCCATCTGCAGCATTCGCCTCTCCTCTTCGACTTCCTCACCAAGACTCATGCACTCTCTCTTAAGAGCCTCCACCTCAGCTTTATCCTCCTCAATCTCCTTCGCCAGCTCATCGCAAACATCCTCGATCAGCGCGCGGGCCTTGCGCTCCT